AAACTTGGTTCGAACGGGGGATGGATCGATAGCTGGGGCCACAGGCGGCGCGGCTTTGCGCGGAGGCATATCTGTATCAAAAGGTATAGCACCGAATGTCGAAGCGCGCTCTATTGTGCCAGTTCCCACTGGTGGTGCGTAGGATGTGTCGTACGCAGTCGCGTTGGAAAGCAGATTTTGCTCTGGATAGGCTTGGCCGTACGGCGCAGGTCGCGCCGGAGTGTGATGTAGTGACTGTACGTGCGGAGAGGCAAAGGTATCCTCGAATCCGTTACCAGAAGACGGGCGTTTGTCTGGCGAAGAATGGACGTAGGGGTCCTGGATTGAAGAATGTCGCGACCGGTAAGATTGATATTCCGGTCTTGTAGATCTTAGTTGTGAAGATGCTTGCTGGTAGTCGACTTGTGGCCGGTACTTGGAATCATATGTACCACCGTTGTTGTTAAAATTTAAGGATGGTGGAACATAAGAAGAAAAAGAAGTAGATCTGGCGTAGGTTGGGGACTCTGCTTTATATTCGTATCCTGGGCTAAAGTGACTGTCAGGCTGTGGATGATGGAGCTCTTCCTGAGTGGGGCCACTTGAATAAAAAGAAGAGAGGTCCGGAGACTTTGGGGCATAGCTGTCGTCAGTCGACATAATAAATATTTTTTTTGGTCCGCGGTGTTTGTAGCGGAATGATTAGGATTATGGTGGGGCTTGCACGCCGAAGCGGCCGGGATAATATTGTTTTTTGTCCAGCAGCGAACGAATAGCGACCCGTTGCAATGCAAACCAAAGGCGGCCGTCTTTGATGGTGGTGGATAACGTAGATGCTTGGCAGTACAATCGAATGAAACAGCGGGGGTGCTTCGAGAATAGGTAAGGTAGGTAATAAGGTAGCCAATACCAAAAATAACAGAGCGTCACGGCGCCTCTGAACCTTTGTAGAAGAGACTACTTTGTTTGACCAAAGACAATGCAGTCAAGTTGCGGATATCGAGGATAAACAGGTAAAAACTTAATATCTGGCTTTATTTGTCGAGTTGTTTCTTTGTGCAAGTTGCTGTGCTTGTGGTTGGTTGGTCAGTTAAAAGTATGTGTCTAAGGTAGGTATCCAAGAATAGCGGGTAAAGTAGGTAGTAAGTAGTATGATGGATGTAATATGGTGTCTAAGGAGAAACAAAGCGATCAAACTGGAGGAACGTCGTGTTCTTATTATATCAGACAAATCCAGTGAACAAGACGGACCTGCTCACACTTGTCGGATGCTAATAAGAACCGTGCGCAAAGTGAACAGGGGGAGTAAGAAGAAGAGGTTTAGCTCACGAATCAGCAAGCTCGAGCTCCCGTCTCGGACTGGGCTTGGGAATGACGATGTGATGGTGGAGTACAAGGCCACCACATGTATGTATGTACCTATGTAGGCTGGTAGGATAAGGTAAAGGTGATGCATCATGTTGGTAGACAAGTATAGAGCAAAAGAAGACAAATAGCTAACCTACATACCTTTTTAACAACTAGGTAGCTACCTAGAAGTGGAAGCGGTTGGTTGCAGTGCAGTGAGAGGGGCGGCGGGTTACCAGGGGTTGTGTGTAAGACCCCTTGTTATTGAGATGGCCACCCGTCAAAATCCCCTGTTGGATGGAGGTTGTACAATACGCGGGCGAAATGAGGCTCGGGAAGTAATGGTGCGCGTGTAAACCGACAAGGCAGAAAGTGTTGAGTCTTAGCCAGGTAGGTAAGTAAGTTCACGTATGTTAGTGATTGAGTTGATGATTACCGCGTAGACTGGACACCTTAGTGGACAAAGGTTGAGATCTAACAGGAGGTAATATGAAAATGGCGGCTGGCGTCGTTGGTAGACAGGTAGATTATCGATTATCTTGTTTGAGTGGACCGATAAGTTTTTTTTTAGGTTGACAGAGAGTTTTAAGATGAGGATGGTGTAAGTAATAAGTCTTTGATGAGTGCCAGGAATGAAAAACAACGAAGCAATGAAAAGCTTTTCGAGACTGTGGTCATGAGTCGCTTTCGCAATGTTTATCAGGGGCGTTGTTTAAACGTCAGCGTCAGCAGTTAGTCGGCAATCGTATTCGACACAGCGGCGGCAAATGGCGATGGCGGGGGAAACGAGGGAATGCCGGGCGTTTATATGCACAAACTGGACGCGGGGACCTACCTACCTAAGTTGCTCTCTACCTGGGTACAAAGTGACTTCCGCTCAAACCCCAAATCAGAGACGACGGCGTCTCAAGCTGATCCCTCAGCAGATCGGTAGGAACCATCCAGGGGGATCCTTCCCACACCACCTGCATGCACCTACTACTACGTACGTACCTAGGTACTTTAAGTTTCAGGGCAGGAACGAGCTGGATATGGTGCGTGCTTACCACGTGCGCTCCACACCGTAATTCAATACCATTTACACTTTACGCGTTTTCTCAATAATAGTACTGCTGCACTTGGCTAACTCACAGTCTTCCATCCTATAGTGGATAAGATGCGCTTTGTTTATTAAAAAGTTATTCACTCCTCCTGTCTCTACTCACTTGCTCATATCTCGAAGCTCACGATGCAATGTTAGTTCCCTGGCTGCGAACTAGCTATGCCCCTCAGCAGAGACTCCTCACTGGCATTTCGTGTTCAGCCTCAAACATAACATAAACATGGCTAACGCTATCTGCTTTACGAGTTATGCCTAATATCAGCCGCATGTTCCGCCTGCGCGCCTGTGGAGTCCATTCCTGGGCCCTTCTCCAACGAATATGCTGAAATGCAGCGCTGATTCAGATCCCAGAGTGACTGGCATGGCTTAGATGCCTTGTGGCAGCCCTAGGCGCTCACTTCAGGCTCCCATCGTTGAGATGCACCCACAACATCATCAGTGACTGACTGACTGACCTAGTCTACGGGCTGCCTCATGGACACGTCACCTCTGAACTTCAGCAGGCAGATATATCAATCTCTACCAAGTAAGTTCCACTATTTTCCACCTGCATATCCTCTTCTGCCTCTGCACCCTGGTGATGATACACGTTGAGCTTTAATCCCTGAGCAGGCCTGGTGAGGACGAAACCGAGTTTTGTACTATGGTTCCTGATTCACCAACTACAGGCCTCGTCTATGAAATTTTACTTGATCTAATCTGATTCTATACTCTATCCCCATTCAGCGTACCCCATTCAAGCATTCGCCTTCTAATCTCCTTGACAGCAGTTCGAAGTCCTTGCAGCCTCTTATCCTCTGTACTGGATAGGAACAGTGAGGCTACTGGCCACGCATGAATTCCTCCGTCGAATTTCTGTCCTTCAGCTTGAATCCCAATCTTGGCTTGTCGCTTGAGGAATTCTTCAATATCTGGCGCGAACACTTCCTCTTCTCCAAAGACGATGAAGTATCCTCGTTCTGGACTGGCTGCTCTCCAGAGCCCCTCATCGACGCAGTCACCAGGAGAAGCCGGTTGCTGCTGAACCATGTTCTCTCCTGCATACTCGTGTGCATATTTCCACAAGGTTCTCTTGTCCAAGAAATCACTTTTGGAGCTGTAATGTAAATTGGACATCAGTGTTATCCATGGCGAAATTAGTGTAGCCATACGCGGGAGAGGCAGATGAAGTGGAGTCGTATCCGGGAGGCCGCCCCGGATGTTGACCTTCATGCCCTTCTTGTCTTGATTGTCAGCCTGAGCGCCCAACTCGAGCAACAAGCTGAGAATCAATGAGCCGCCAGCCGAATCTCCTGAAACGCAGATCTTGGATGCGTCTTGCACGACTTCAAGGACATGCTTGTAACCTTCAAGTGCCTCCAGGACCTGTCTTGGGTAAACTTGATCAGGTACCAAAGTATACTCGAGTGCAAATATTGCTGGGTTATTAAATCCAGCCTCAACAAGGAGGTGATGCCAGGCCATGAGGAATTCAAGGTAAAAGTAACTTGAGCCCATCAAGAACCCACCACCTTGTGATAATCAGCAATGTGAACACATGGTTAGTAAGTTTTCTGAGCATACCGTGTGCATAGTAAAGGACAAAACCTGGAGGATTTTCCGGTTGATGCATAATCCAAGTGCCCTTTGTTTTAATATCTCCCTGCTACAGTTAGTCATCGCAACACAGCCATAGTGAGAAATTGAGACCAACTTTTCCTATGTTGTATTCCCTGTAGTGAACTGGAGATCTGATGTAGCCATGGCGAAGCATGCGCCAGTGAATGAATGGTAATGCAACATGTTTGCCGAAGAAGACTCGCCCAACCTTGGCGGGGATATTGGCGAAGGTATACCGCACACAACGTATCACAAGATCCTCAAACACAGTAGCTGTCTGAGTAAACGCAAGTTGGCGACTTGAAGGAGTCAGATAACGGTCAGTGATGAACTCATAAGGAAGTCGAATCACTATGTTGCATAAGTTAGACTGGCATAATATGTAGTGACGGACAACCAACAGAGAAACGGTAGGGCTCTAAGACCCGTGAATAGTGTCAGAAAGAACCCAGCGTGCCATATGAGTTGAGGCGCAAGGAATATGAGAAATACTCCACAGTCAACGAGGCTTATAGGACCAAGGATCATGGCGAGGACGGCTTTTCTTGATGGCAGAGGCGTTTCATGAGGTGTGAAAGGGAATTACGGGCAGGTTTCCTCCCCCTTAATTGAATGTCTTTGTGGCAACTATGATTGTAAGTTCCATTGGCTATAAATTGTAATTTTATGGCTCCAATTGGTACAGTTTGAGTAGATCGTAAAGGGACGCGTTGAAGATAAGTTATGAGATCGATGATGGAGGGGCTGGATTTGAAACTCTGGGCTGGAGCAGCTTTTTAACGGCTGATAAGAGGCCACACACTCTTTACATGTGATGGCCCTTGATGAGAATTATCTCTAAGCAATCACAACTACTCAACAGGGGCACTCGTTCAGTAATAATTTCCTCATTCATGTGAAGGCGATGGCTTGTTGCTTCGTAGTCGCTGACATAAGCCAACTGGGGCCAACTTCTCACCGCATGAACACCACGATGACCATTCGAGCCTGTAAGTTCAGAACTGCATTTCCTGTAAATCATAACGTTTAGCGCTATATCTCTGATAGCACGGGTCCGTACCTTGCAAGTAGAAAACACACGCATCAGAACATCATTACCACCTCCCCATCTTAGCTGGCAGACGAGATCTTTCAGACTCTCCAAATCCTCAACAACCTACTACGACATGGGCGAGAACCCCCCAGAAGAAGCGCCCTTCCCTCTGACGGATGTCGACAGATGGGTCCTCTCTCAGACTGATGAGGAGTTTCACAAACATGATTGGGAGGAGTTAAAGGAGATTATCAGTAAGCAGCTCTATTTAGAATCTAGTCGGCATTTCTGCTCTGTTTCGAGCCCAGTCATTGACATTGGACAGGGACGAACAACCTCTCTGTCCTGAAGCGCAAACCCTCCGACCTTCGTCGATACATGGCTTGGACTGCAGAGACCAAAGCAGAATATGGCTCCATGACGAATTATCTTCTTGTAAACCGCCTGCCTCAGGAATGGGGAAACCCACCATTCACACCAAAGTCTACTGTCCCTTTCGAGGACCCTTCAGATTACCGTATCTTGATCAATGACTGGCCTTACGGATTGGAACCGGATATCAGACACATTGTTGTGTGGTTGCGCACAACCGTCCCTACGGACTCCGAGACTGGTGATATGACACCCGAGAGCAGGGCTTTGGTCCAGTCATTCATCAAAAAGACATTTATCGATGCTCTGGGTCCAAACGGAGAGAGCAGAGTGCTGTGGTTCAAGAATTGGGTCGCCCTCCAGAGTGTACGCGCCCTAGAACATATTCATGTCCTAGTCCGCAATGTGGACGATGATACCCTTGAGCGCTGGACTGGAGAGCGTCCGAAACAGAAGCCTTAGATAGCCAATAGACTTAGGATCCCAGGAGAGATCTAATGCCCCCAATGAGAGTTGAGAAATTTAAGCAGCTCGACGTGCTCTGCGATTTCCTTGGGGAGCTGCACTAGCACCAGCACCATCGCCCGCTCCTTGGAACTCGGCCATCTTCTGCTTTCCCATGCCTAGTAGCCCACTTCCGAGGTACACGCCATATGCCGGAAGAATAAGCCACAGAAACCAAGCTTTATTTCCGAAGATAATGACAAAGATTACTGCAGCCCAGGTAACCCAGATTACGTCGAACATGTACTCGGTCAAGCCAGGAGAGGACAGATCTTCACCAGCGGTACGCAGGGCGCGCGTAGTTGGGTCGTACTTCGGTCGACCGGAAGCCTCGAGAATGTACTCGCAGATGAGGGCAGGAGCAGAAAGGAGAACATAAAGCCAGATAGAACGAGCCCGGAAGAGGAAGTGAGAAAGGAGGAAGAGGGCGTTGACGATAAGAGAACCGATGTGCAAGTTGTTAAGTGCCGCCGCGTTGGACTTGGCGCGGTCCTTTTTCGCTTTTTGGGCCATTGTATGTGAGTACTCGCGAACGCGCTCGGGTTGATAGAATTAGCTGCAGAGTGGTGATAGGTGAGAGCACGTGGATGTTTTGTCGATCAAGCTGAAGTATTCACTGAAGAAGTGAGAAGTGGAATGACGATGCTGATAACAGGGGAGAGTAGCAATTCCACCGATCTGATTGGTACCTCCACTTGCCGGAGTAGTAACTTCTAGACATCAAACGCGCATGCCAAAATTAACTGGTCTGGATGCCCACTGAGATATACTAAATTTACCTGAGTATTTTCGTCACCCGGGATAGAAGTCCTAAGTTTTCTTACCTCCTCGAGGCGTCATGGGCTGATCAGGTTGCTCCATTGCAGCTTACAAGACTATCTATGAAATGAGAAGCTTGAGGGAATTGACATACTTCATCGAGTACCAAAATAGAATTCGAGTGCTTATGCACGAAATTTCCGACCTCACTTCCCGAGATCTTCTTCTGCTTCATCAAGCTCTTGGTGCATTTTAGCTTTCGCTTGGTCGCTACTAGTTGAAGCTCTTAACTCTCGTCACGTGCCGAAATTGGCGATAAGCGATAAGCGCACAACTTTTTGATAATTGGGGCTTAATTGTCAACTAAACGCTTCTACAACAAAAGGAATCAATCTCTCATCCCTCCCAGGCCGTCATCACGTTACCGTTGCAGTCACTTTTGCCGAGTCTTGACAGCCATTCACAATGTCTCACCAGAAGAACGAGAAGGAAGTCGGTGACGCTCCCGTACGTCGATGTCACCGTCAAGTTGAACCGCTGGCACGATGCTAACGCCCATAACAGAAGAGCCACCGCATCCGAATCACCCTGACCAGCCGAAAGGTCCAGTCTCTCGAGAAGGTCAGCGCTGAGCTCATTGAGCGTGCCCGCAGCAAGGGTCTCACCATCAAGGGACCCGTCCGCCTGCCCACCAAGAACCTCAAGATCACCACCCGCAAGACCCCTTGTGGTGAGGGTTCCAAGACCTGGGATTCCTACGAGCTCCGCGTCCACAAGCGCCTTATCGACCTCCACGCCCCCACCGAGGTTGTCAAGTCCGTCATCGTCAACAGTAAGGGATCCCGCCGCCTGAAAAGATCTGGGCAGAGTCTAACCGTGTTACAGTCGAGGCCGGTGTCGAGGTTGAGGTCACCATCGCTGCTTAAATGTGGTCGTGGTCCTAGTCAGTGGTTTATATGCTCGGCTTCGTCCTGACATTGTGAAGGAAGGGAATGATGGGAACATCAAGATCTTGCTCACAGCAAGAGTGGTGGATATAGGATACTCAGTTATGATTAATGAATCTCTGGGAACCTCGTGTTCTACCATTCAAAACTATGAAGAGGATGATGTTGTTGTGTTGTCTGGTATAATGACTTTGACTCGGCATATTTGCAAACAGTGTTCAACTTGGTAAAACATCCATTGACGAATCGAACTCAAACGAACTTGGATGTGAACGCAGCATGCACTGCAGATGCTTATTCGCTTTGTGGCAAATAAAATAAAATAAAGTAACAAGCAAGATATAGGTACCTTAGTCAGGCTGCTAGACACAATTTTGCTTTAGCCAGTGCTAAAAGAACCATTCTTGGGATGACACAGGCACGAAATATTTCTTGTAAGTCCAGGCAGGTTAATAGTATACCTGCCACTCGAGCCACTCTATGGACTGTAGGTAAGGAAATGTCGAATTGGCTGGAAATGGAAGAGGCAGACAGTCTGCAGGTACGGATGCCAGCTGTGAAATGTCAGTGGCTGGAAGGACCGAGACAATATAGTCTTGGTACTTGAGATGACGACTCGTACACAAGCGATAGCAAGTAGATATACTTGGTGGCTGGTTGCTAGGCGCAACCCTGAGCCAATCATATCAATTTTGTCACGCCAGGCAGGTACCGCGCGCTTGGCCAATCCGTCACTACCACCTAAACATTCAAAGCCTGTTTCACGCAAGCACGCCCATAACGTTCACTGCACCTTCTGCTACCTTACCTATCCGTACAGCATCCCCTAAGGCCAGGCTGAGTTTGCAACCCGTCCAATACCATGAGCAACTCATATCGAAGCCGTATTAGCTGGTAGCAGGGAAATTTCTTCTTTTTCTTCGTCCATTCTATACTTTTGAGCTTCCTTCAGTCCCGTCTTCATCAACAACTGTCGCTGTCTAGCTCGCTCGCTCGCTCGTTAGGACCCACCGTTCCCGTTCACGAAAGGTTGCAACTTGCTCGCCTTGAACGACTCCATACTTGTGACGACCTCTTGCTCCTTTCCTAGGCCGCGACATAACAAAGGCTACCTTAGATCGACAGAACTGGCTTGCGCTCTGCTCTCTTTGTTGTTTCCTTAATCACTAATTCATTTCACAACGCTGATACCCACTACGACTGCCCAGCGACTGACCCACGGCTGTTTTGTTTTCTTTCGATTTGGCTGGTCCCCGCCACTCACGCGAACGGCTTAGCACGAGAATAAACAACAATTTGGTCAAGAAGATCATTGTTGATCGCCGACTGACGGGTCTATTCCCATTGAATCATTTTAACACGATCTTGTCCATCGATTGTCTCATGGCCAGAACACGACGTTAGGCAACTCCGTCAGCGCCACCACCGTCCGAACCCCCGAACATCCTTCTCAAACCTCATCACTGGACAGCAACGTTTAGTATGGCGCCCACTCTGACGGTCACCAGTGGCCTTTTAAGACAGACGATATACTATCATCTCGATAATGCCTCCTACCACAACGGCCTATTCTTTGCCGAACGCCTGCTGGCGCAGGACCCCAGGTCTAGCGAGTCTACATACCTCTATGCCCTATGCCACTTGCGACTCGGCGACTTTCGCTCAGCCTACGACGTTAGCAAGCCTATAGGATACCGTGGTGTTCATCTGGGGTGTGCTTGGGTTTTTGCTCAAGCATGCTTGGCTCTAGAGCGATACAAGGATGGCATCTCTGCCTTGGAGAAAGCCCGAAGTTTCTGGGCATCGAAATGCAGCTTAGGGAAGCATAGCGCAACCACTAGAACCGCTCTTCCTGATGCGCCTGCAGTCCTTAGTCTTCTAGGACGACTTCATCGCGCGTATGACGACAAGAAGAAGGCCGTGGCTTGTTTCGAAGAGGCTCTACAGCTGAATCCTTTCATGTGGGATGCTTTCGAAGCACTATGCGACCTTGGCGTCACCGTTCGTGTGCCAAATGTCTTCAAAACCAGCGATGCGCTCGTACATAGCTTCGATGTGGAAACAAGCCCTTTAATATCAAGAGAAGGCTCTGTACCAATCGTACCAGATATCCCCATGAAGAAGTCCCACCGGAATGTTACAATGGATGTTGCGAGCGACCCCTTCAGCTCCAGTCATTCCCCAACCATCCATGAGCTTACTAACGGCGACTCTGGCCAGGAAGTCGATAAGAGCGAATTCATGCAGAAGATCCAAGAGGGACGCATGCGCTATGCGACATCGACTAACAGCAGCTCTGGTTTTGACGGCATGGAGACACCTCCAGGTACGATATCTTCGGTTACGACATCATCTCGCATTGGCCATTCCCATGAGCCTCCTCAGGCTCCACCTCGAAGGACACGGCACGCCCAAGCTATCGACCAGGCGCAGGAGGCACCCCCACGAATGAATTATCGCATAGGATCTCGACGCACAAGGGCGCAAGACAAGGGGTTACCAGAACAATCTGCGGAAAATGTGATGACTGATGCGTCTAACGCCGCACCCTCAGCATCGTTGCGATCGTCTATACCAGCGGCAGAAAGGAAACGGACTGTATCGGGACACCCAGCACAGCGAACGACAAACTCAGAAGAGCCAGCTACAACTCGACGTAGTGCAAGGCTCAACATGTTTAGACCATCGTCCAAAGCAAACTCAGGCGCGGCTGGGATGGGAAATGCGGCCGTCAGGGAGCTGAAGAAGGCTAGGCCCCCAATTTCTCGAATCGTTCGACCTGGATCAAGTGGCTCTAGTGTTGGTCGCGTGGTTAGTGGTAATCGCAAACCTCTCGAAGAGGCACCAGCCGATACAGACCACAGCGAGCTACCGAAAGCCAAGGAGATCCCCCCTCCACCGCCGGTGCACAAGACGTCGGAGCTTGATGCTCAAAAACTCGAAGAAGGACTTAGATGGCTGCTCGATCTTGTCAAGAAGCTGGCAAACGGATACTACTCATTATCCCAGTTCCAATGTACCGAGAGCATCCAGCATTTTCAGTCGCTTCCAATGCCGCACCAAAACACACCGTGGGTTTTGGCACAGATGGGCCGAGCTCACTTTGAGCAGGCTTCATATGTCGAGTCTGAGAAGTTTTTCAGGAAGATGCGTGTGCAAGCGCCTTCACGACTCGAGGATATGGAGGTATACTCTACAGTTCTCTGGCATCTGAGACGGGAGACGGACCTTTCTTTTCTCGCACATGAGTTGGTAGATTCCGCATGGCTTTCGCCGCAGGCTTGGTGTGCCTTAGGGAATGCTTGGTCATTGGCACGCGATCATGAACAAGCACTCAAGTGTTTCAAGCGAGCCACTCAACTTGATCCCAAATTCGCATATGCTTTCACCTTGCAAGGACATGAGCATGTCACCAACGAAGAATATGATAAGGCACTCACGGCATATCGTCAAGCAATATCAGCCGACCGACGCCATTACAATGCCTACTATGGCATAGGAAGGGTCCAGGAACGTCTCGGCGCTTACGATAAGGCGTACACGCACTTCCACGCAGCCCAGAGCATCAACCCCAACAATGCAGTACTGATAACTTGCATCGGAACCGTACTAGAGAAGCAGAAGCAAATAATGCCTGCCCTGCAAGCTTATAGCAAAGCAGTTGACCTCGCACCTCGTGCAGCCCAAACTCGTTACAAGAAGGCCAGAGCACTGCTTGCTGTTGGTCAATTAGATGCGGCGCAAAAAGAGCTGATGATACTTAAGGACCTGGCGCCAGATGAGGCGACAGTTCACTTCCTCCTCGGCAAACTGTATAGAAGCATGGGCGAAAAGCAGCTCTCAGTGCGCCACTTTACTATTGCCCTTGCCCTGGATCCCAAGGTAAGCTAGTAGAACACCACAACTATGTACCGTCCATACTGACAACTCAACAGGCAAGCCAACAGATCAAAGAAGCAATTGAGAGTTTCGAGGACGACGTGGAGATGGACGACTCGATGATGTGATGATTGTAATGAACATTGCGATTTTAACGAGTCTGCACTTGCGTTTGATAGCCTTGGTTTTGGGACGACTGGCATAATGAAGTATATGGGATGTGGTGGCACTGATTCGTATTGCGAAAGGTCGAATATATGGGATGAGGACCGGCGGTCGGCGCTACTGTTGACTTTGTTACGAGAGCATGGGCATGGCATCGGCGTTTTGTGGTATGATTAGGCCTCTTCAGCGGCCTGGCTCGCGCGTGCTGTGCAAATGGAAAAAGCGACTTTGCTTTTGTGTATATGTAGCATGAGCAGCATACATTGACGCGTCGAGATACCTGTACACTACGGGAATAGGCATTCAGAGAGGCGGTGAGCTGATGGATAGATACCCTGATAATCAGAGTAAAAAAGTTTGAGCCCATTATTGTTGTAAATACGCGTCTCTAGACTCGTTGTGACATGACGAGGCTACCTGAATAGAATGGATAGGTTGGTGGAACAAGCTACCTACTACTGGTATACCAACTTCATGTAACAAGTTTCACGCGATCTTGCTATGTAAAATTATATTATACTGTTATAATACAAGTATCTACATGCATGTGAAGCAAACAATTTGAACCCGAGCTATTTTAATACTAGGTACGTTGGGTAAGGTATTTAAGCAGTTTCAAGAAAAAGAGTCAACGTGACTCTAGCCGGAGCTGAGAATGGAAGAGCAAAAGTGAGTGGCGCAACTCATTGCACTTCATCCTCAAAGAACTGGTCGCTGACCCACAGCTCCCCAGCTCCGAATTCTGGCTGTAGCTGGACCTGCCTGGCACGACGGGAGTGATCTGAGCTATCAGCCAATCAAAAAATCGAACCACAGCATCTCTCACGCGGGCATCCGAAAGCGGTAAAGCGCTTCAATTATAGCGAATTTGGTGCCCATTTTTTCACTGATCCTGCCCGCATTTTAGCAGTGATTTATGGCGCCTACAGTTGTTGTTTTTTACTGATTGCCTACACGTATTTATTCCTCCCCTTCTCGCCCCTCCCTGCAGCGTTTTTTTCCCTTTCACTCTTCTCACTCCGCATCATCAACGCGTCTCAACGTCATCTACAACATCGCGATAACGCGTCACATTCATCTCTTTTCATCAAGACTTTATCACCTTTATCTATCATCATGACTGGACGTAAGTACTTTCTCTTGTTTCTTGATGCATTCTTTCGCGTTGATGCATGGTCGTCACTTGTGACCATGCTGACGTGTTAATCAATTGCATTCAACACCATGCTTCACTCATCAACATATACTAACGCTTCATGTTAGGTGGCAAGGGCGGCAAGGGTCTCGGCAAGGGCGGTGCCAAGCGTCACCGAAAGATCTTGCGAGACAACATTCAGGGAATCACCAAGCCCGCTATCCGACGTCTCGCTCGTCGTGGCGGTGTCAAGCGTATTTCTGCTAGTAAGTTGACCACATCGATACGTTTCCACATCATGAAGATGCTAACCTTCTGCCTTAGTGATTTACGAGGAGACCCGTGGTGTTCTCAAGACCTTCCTGGAGGGTGTCATCCGTGACGCTGTCACCTACACTGAGCACGCCAAGCGCAAGACCGTCACCTCCCTCGACGTCGTCTACGCTCTCAAGCGACAGGGACGTACCCTCTACGGTTTCGGTGGTTAAACTGCTTTCTGCCTTTGGTGGCTCGCTCTTGAGAAGGATTATTCAGCTGCGCTTATACGGCACTGGGATGGATGTATTTGACTAAGGCGTTGGGGAAACGGATATGATATTACCATAGGCGTCATGGAAGACGACCTTGCAAATGAATACCACATTGAACATGGAACACTTCATAATTTTGCATTACTTCCGACATGTACCTTCTTCGTGACTCAGAATTCAAGCGTAGTTTTACGGCTCATGTAACAGAACTTAGGCACCGTATCTAAGCATGAACATCAGATCTGCTGTGTTGTATTAAGTTGCAAACATGGTATCATAAGAACGCGAAGCTATCTGGTCAACATTCAGAGGTACTTCCTCCCAGCTGCCGCTACCCTTGTTCTGAAGACAGGGCTACGCACCTCCATGTTGGCGCGGTAGAAAGGACTCATGATAGCCTTGACCCAATTCTCATAAACTTCCGTAAAGAACATTTTGATGGCTTCTTCGGTAGCTGGACTTGTGGGATTAGCCCCGATGGCAGTTGATGACCGCGATGACGTTCCTGTCGGGATGATGGGTTGGTGGAGTAGGAGAAATTTGACGTTGCCAGCGGTGACGAAGCATGATATATAGTTATTGAAGAACTTGTCAATACACTTGAGATACCTGTAGAAAAGCCAGAGTTTAGTATCATGTTCGCGTCGTGTCCCTTTTTATTGAACCGGCCATGCGAAACCCCTTGCGTTCTTCAAAGCCACCCTCTTCGAAAGTGTGGGCACAACTCACATCTGTCCATGCGACCACTGGACCTCCTCTGCAATATCAAGACTCGAATGGAGGATGAATTGGTTCAAGTGGCGGACTTGATCGCTGAAGCGCGACTGGCCGTCACCGCCCTGTTTAGAGGTGCCAAATTCATGCTCGAATAGAGGGTTGTCCTGAGTGCCGACAATGGCGAAGTAGTAACTCATGGTGCTGTGTGTTGCATCGGTCGCGGTCTAGCAATATCCTTTGGTTTCGCTGCGTGGGCACGATTCATTCAATGCTTTGGAGGCGCCACGTTAATGCTGTCGATACTGTCGCATACCCTTCTTAAAACGAACGGAATGAATGGATAGACGTCTGCATTGCTCTGAAGGTAGGTAGGTAATCTGAGCCAGCTAAATCGAAGCTCCCCCACTGAAGCACCTACAACTCCCCACCTCACTGACACGCCGCCCACTGTACCCGGCCCTCACAATGTTCCGCTACCTTAAGCTTCTCCGCCTATGCAGCCAACCAGCCTTCCTGCGCTAAGCGTCTGCGCGGCTCAACAGCCGCCGACTAGCGGGAAAAAGTTGACGTTCATTCGACAATCACCAAAAGACTCGTCTGTCTGATTGTGTCTCTAACCCGCAACGCTATTCGACAATGTTCGGCGCATTCCGCATCACAAACCCTCTCTCGGGTGGCCTTCTTTGGAAGATTCCCTGGCGGTTGTCCAAGTTCCAGAAACGCCGCCACCGACTTCGCCTGCGAGCTGTCGACAATGTTGTAGCGACTGTCGATGCAGCTCTCGCCAAGAAAGGACAGACCCTCGAAGCTCTTGAGCGATGGAAGGCTGAGATGCCCACCGAGGCCGAGATGCTACCAAAGGACAAATATACCATGTTCGATCGCAAGGCCAAGCGTTACCGCAAGGGCATTCACAGTATGCCACTCTGCTCAGATCACCCAATTGCCCGGATTTCAATGCTGACAATTGCACAGAACTGCCCAAATGGACAAGGGTATCCCAGCGAATCAACCCTCCTGGTTACTAGAAAGGCGATTTTGTAGAATTGGAAGCAGGACAATCGAGTTGAGGATCTAACGGAGAACGGCGTATTCATCCCATGGCGGGAATTGCAAGCAGATCCGTATTGGGATCTATGTACAACACCAATGTTTCGACTACCAATGTGACGACCACATTGCCCGATATGATACAAAACCAGAGGCTTGAGAGACGGTCTCAAATGCTGGTGAAAGGGCAGGGCAGACCAGTGGTATGCATTGGGATAGAAGATAAGGAAAGGAATACCATATATGCACATAGAAGAAGGAATGCAGTTACTTTCCCAAATATCGAAGGCTTTGTATAAAAATCTAAGGGTATCGAGTCCTAATCGGCCGTCAAGGACAACCGCCGCCTCACTACTGTCCAGTTACTTCCCCTCGGCGTATTCGTCTCGCTCTTCGGCTTGTATCGCTCTGCCAATACCTCCTCTGCCCTCATCGAAGTCCTCACGGTACTCGTCGCGAACTTGACCACCGGATTTTCCACGGCCGAATTGACGTCCCTCTTCAAAGCCGGGATCCAGATCGGTACGGATGATGCGTTCGTCAAGCTTGGTGCCGCCAATGTATTTTAGGCAGTCGAGGGCGTCCTGGTGAGTGTAGTACTCAACAAAGCAGAATCCGCAAGGTGTTTTGTTGAAGCGGTCGAGACCCATGATAAGGCGCTTGATCTCGCCGCACTTTGCGAAAAGTTCATAGACCTGCTCTTCGGTTGTGTAGAAGGATCTGTTGGCGCGATGAAAGTTAGCCTTATGCGATTGATCACTATGATATAATGAACATTGTAGCAAGGAAAACATACAGGTTGCCGACGTAGAGGGTTGTGGCATTGGCTAGAGGGTCAGCTTGGGGCTCTGCAGGTTGGTCATGGTCGTCATCGCGATCGCGTCTTCTCTTGTTCTAGCATGGTGTTAATAAGTGGTTCGAAAAGCGTGGGTAGATAACATACACGGTTCTGGTAGTAGGCGCTCGGCCTATCGAGGCGCTCTACAGTGTTTCTGACGCCTGGTCGCATTGTCTTGCGATCTTCACTTGTCGCGGGTTTCGAAGATGAATAGGAAAGGTCTTAGATTTATCAGAACGGGTAATTGTGTGCAACAAAGTACGATAGATGCTTCTTCAGCTTCAATAGTTTAAGATGATGGATGTTGGTGTAACAAGAGTAGCCTTGCGTTGCGAGTGGGCCCTGCAGACAAGTGTGGCGGTGCATGTGGCATTCACTTATACCCTGCCTCTTGATGCTGTGGTAACAAGCGCTAGAGCTTTCAGTGACGGATCGTGCGCCAGCCCCAGGCCTTCAGCCTCGTTATTTTCTTCCAAACATTCAAAGATCGCGACGTGCGCTCAGGTACAACGACTCTGAGTAGCTCATATAGCTCGCATTCTCACCTCATTAGCTTCACGAAACTGTGCAAACACATTCGCCAACGAAGCTCGGCATTGTCCTCTCGCCATGCCTAAGGTCAAGAGCTATTCGGCAGCTTGGCTGTCCAGCAACGCTCTCGGCCATCGTCTTTTTGAGCCATCATCTGAGGCGTCCAAGTCTCGGAGTTTGGATTCAGCATATCCGTCCAAGAAGAAATCCATTTCTGGTCCGCGACGAACCATTGCTCATCGAGGGACTGAAGTATTTGTTGCTGTTGGTCGCGAAATTCGCTGGGGTGATCTTGCATACTTGAAAGATGAATGGGCAAATCGTTACTCAAAGAGAGGATCATCGCAGGGCATTCGCATCAAGCGTGAGGATTCTACACAGTCGTTCGATGATGAGAGCCTAGAGAACGCTGCTGGATTGAGGGTATGTTCGAGTATCATGACTTATAAATCGGTAGCTAACCTACCACTGCGCAGACAATCAAGACTCCCGTTGCCGACGACATTCGTCAGCTGATTATCTCCCCGAACTCGAACTTTTTGGCCATTCTGACCACACATACTGTCCATATCTGCGTGCTCCCTGACCCCTCACACCTTACCAGTGAAGATGCTGGCCCTCTTAAGCCAAAGATCTTCACGCTTGGTCCGACCACTCACGTTACCTCTCGATCTCCTGTCGTCTCGGCCCTCTGGCATCCTTTGGGTGTCAGTGGCTCTTGTATCGTTACGACTACCGCGGATGCTATCGTACGTGTATGGGAATTGTCCACTACTGATCGATGGTCCTTCGACTCCCCCACGACGTCTGTCGACCTGAAGAAACTGGTGGACGGTACCACTCTGGATCAAGACTTTTCTGCCTCAACAGCAGCCACCAATACGGCATTCTCACCTGATTCATTCGAAATGGAGGTGGCTGCTGCCAGTTTCTCTACTAAAGGGGCTGGCGGTTGGAACCCCATGACTTTGTGGGTAGCAATGCGAGAAGGAGATGTGTACGCCTTGTGTCCTTTGCTGCCTCAGAAATGGGCACCTCCCCCAACATTGATCCCTTCTCTGTCAGTATCGATCGTCACTACTGTTGCAAGTATCGAGGATGATCCGGATGTCGGAGAGCAGGAAAAGTTACTCGCCCAACAGCAATTAGAATGGATGGGAGAGCTAGATTCCCAAGAGCCAACAATCATGGAGGGGCCGATTGGTGACCCTATGATGGAGATTTACACGCGACCAACCCGACCGGGAATTATTCCTCGCCTGCAAGGCCCTTTTGAGCTTCAGTCAGATCCTGATGCAGGTGATGAGCTGGATACATCGGTCACTGATATGCTCGTCATCGGCAAGAAGACGGAGACGGAGCAGCTTATGATGGGCGAAGAAGAAGATTTGGATATGGATGACGGGGACCAAGAGGGCCTTTCTCTGACCGTGCTCTGCCTGTTGTCAACGAGCGGCCAAGTTCGCGTATATCTTGATCTCGAGGGTGTCCAGGCTCAATGGTTGCCACCCAAGAACAAGAATAAACTTGGCCGACTGCTTGCCGAAGTTGAAACTCCGTCTCTACTTTCCTTCCAGGCCATTGATACCATGACACCCGTGGAAGTGAATGACGACAGTTGGCCGGTTTTCAGCAACGACGTCACGTCTCGCTACAATTTCTTTGTTACACACCATGCTGCTATCACATTTATTTCACTCACGTCCTGGGTATTCCGCCTAGAGAGTGAGTTGAATGGAGATTCCGAAGCAGGAACCGACTTTAGAATTGGCCTGCTTGTCAACTCTCAGTCTACAAGGGACCGCATATACTCACAACCCACTGCCGATATTGCGGTGCCCTTAGCTGCATGCAATGTTCTGCGAGACCCTGACGTTGGTTACTTTCTCCTCTCAGCGACCCCCTACGAGCCCATCGCCCTGACCTTCGACACACCAGAAGTCGACCTTGCTCCAATTCGCCAGGAAAGCCCCAGCTATGAACGGGAAGCTAGTATGGCGCCCCTGGACTTTTATGAGCCTCGCCCCGTGTTCAACCCGTCTCATACATTTGATGAGGGCTCTGCTCTGCCTACACTGCTTGAGAGGCTCCGCACATCTCGTCACAAGACCGTTGTCAACCAGGAAGTAAGATTAAGCCCGCTTACGTTGCAAATCTTTACCGATGCGCATAAGGTCTTGTCAGAGGAGACGCATCGCCTTGGAATGGCTGCGGCTGAGGTATTCCGGCGATGTGAACTTCTCCAGAGTGAGCTTAAGCAACAAGTCATGAAGGCGAATGAGGTAAAGGGCAAGATCGACACAATCAACGGGTCGCATCGCGGCGGAGAGGCGGATAATGCCATGTACGATCGGCGAGTTACGGCAGCAAGGGAACGCCAGGAGCGGCTGACTGAGCGCCTTGAAAACCTACGCAAGATCGTAGGTAAGGCGACCACGCGTGACTTGAGTGCCAAGGAACGTGCCTTTGTGGAGGAAGTGAAGTCGATGGAAGCCAGCATCTCGGCTCCGGATTACGCGGAGCTGGCATCAGGCAAATCCAAGGCGACACCAGCACAGGCTAAGCAGCTGTGGAAACGTCTGGAAGACATTAAGCACCTGCAGGCTGATCTTACTGCCGAAGTGGAGGCTATGAACAAGGCGACAGGGGAGACGGATGGGCCCGCTACACCTTCGGCCGAGTTGCGGATCCCGCAAGAGGTTCGCCGGGCGAAGTTGCAGCAGGTCCAAGGACTTCTATCAAGAGAAACAGCCTTGGTGGATGCTGTCACTGCGCGACTGGAACGGCTGCAAACCAGTGTCTGAAACTGATATATATGTACGATACCTACGGTATAATAAGAAGTGCTTCCGTTGGATTTTCTATCCATTCTCTCTCATCCCTTGACAAAAACTTTCCCAGGACAAGCATTCTTCGCAATGCGAGGCAAGTGAAGTAGTCAATTCTAAGACTGTGTGTCATGGGCATCCATATTTACACATTGAGCCAAGCCGAGAGGGGCAAATCGAAGTTGAGGCAGAGATCGTCATAGCAACAATACACGACTCTCTCTGTCAAGCAGATATCCTGGATACCGAGACAACTCGACCAAAAGCAAAAAACGATTGACCAAGGAAACAGGGTCTTTGGCATCCCTATCTATAACTCCGCGGCAACACAATTGGGCTGACAAGCCCCCCCCTTTTTTTTTAATCATCAGCGAAATATATTGCTTTGTTGAGCACTTGAGTCAAGACAGGCTCGTACATTGTGGACCAATCATTCTACAAGGCGAATCGTATCCATGAATCAATCAATTGACTCAGTGGGCTTTTTTATGGCTACACGATGATTGATTGTTTGGTTTCTTGAGCGTTTGCTAATTGTTTTTATTCCAGTTTGTGTATGATTGACTAAGAATGAGAAATCAAAGCTCGGAAACCAAGAAAGAATGTATTTGCGTTTGGTATTGTGGTTGTGTGACAAGCTGAAGGACACACACAACAAGGCAGAAAGTTGAGTGAGCACGGCTGGGTGCTTACCACACACGAACAATACAGGGAGATCCTTGAGTATCTACTGGTCCAAATGGATTGCCTTGACTGCAGCCTGCAGCCTTTCGGAATGCATAGTGTCAGTTCCTGGTATCAGCCATTGGCCTTAAGCCCATGGAACAATGCCTATTTTGGGTTCTCTGCGGATAGCCACGGTAGTCCACGACGTGTCTTCTCATGAGGTTCTACCAAGGCGCTTCGTGGTATCACGATTACGAATTGTCTGCTGTTGGGCTCTACCAGACTTACACGGCATGAATCACGAGAAATGGCCTCGGTAGCGGGAATCTGAGCCAGAGCATCGCGGCCTTTGCACAACTTTTGCTTTGCAAGCCATTGTGCCAAGTATCTCCTATATTGCTCGGCTATACATACCTCCCAGACTGGGATAGACATGACTGGCCGCCTTATTCCATACGGGGGCGTCATGTATCGGTTTGTTAGACACACATTCCCTGCATGCGTTGTTTGGGTGTGAGATATTATACATACCCAGATGTATTTGACACTGGACGTACCATGCCACACACCACTACCACTGCTCCAACATAAAGGTATTGCACTTCCACTCCCACTCCCACTTTCACTTCCACTTCCACTTCCAATCTTACAAAGTTCAACTCCAACACGCCATAACCTCTGTTCAGCACATTGAGCAGTCCCTTACCAATCCCTTTCTCCATCAATGACATTGTTGCGTCGAGCCTGTCAGGATCCAGCACATTCACCTCAGTCAGATATGGCACCTCATATGGACCCCAAGGGTTTCATTCTGCGTGAGTCTGAACCCTAAACTTACCTCTGACAGTTCATTTCTTTCTGAATACGTTACTGACTCAACCGGAATAAAGAGAACTGCCGTGTGTCGGCCGAAAGCTCGGATGCTGACTTCCAAGTCCTGACTCGGATCGACCTAAGTCGTCAGTGGTATGCTTTCGTTCTCAAGACAGAAGGCGGGAAACGTACCAAGTATCTTGAGGAGAAGGCCCCTCGACCCGACCGTGCACTTGAACTGCTTCACGAGGCCTCGGCTCGTTTGGTAGATCAGTATGTGACCTGTCACGGCTACGATCTTCCTCCTGGTGCTACCAAGCGCTCATCTGGTATGCGCGGTGGCTCAGTGAGGCCAGATGTCATCGCTTGTAGTTCTTCTGACAGCGAAGCCTTTGCCTCGGACTCTGACGATTCTGCACTTCCTCCCCGTCGCTCCCACCGACGAGGCCATCGCAGTGGCCGAGTGGCGGGCGAAGCAGCCAACACACGACCAGACCGAGTAGAGGCAGATTCAGGTAGCGAGAGTGACGAGCCTACTAGTCGCCGTGCCCCCTTTTGGGTATCTCCTCCTCGTCCAACAGGAATGCCATCTCACGGTCATCCCCCTCCCCCTCAACCATGGGGTTATTCGATGCCAATACAGGCACAAGCACAAGCACCAGCACCGGCCCCAGTGCCTGCCCCTATTCCGGGCATTCGACCAGGCCCTTCGATGGTTCCTCCACCACCAGGTAGAAACATTCCTGTTCCGCCCATGGTTGGCAAGTCGTATCCTGCACGCCTCAACATTAACTGGGCAGGCAATGGAAAGAGGAACATGCTTGTCAACGTCTCGCCAACCGTTCACTACCTGCAGCAAGTTGCAGTCAACGAGGCAAACATGCGCCCTACGGGGTTTTCCAACCCATCTTCAGCGCCGTACCTCCCTCTGTCGAATCGTTCTAGCAATGGTCACTCTCTTCTTAGAGCCATGGTACGCCGTGTCACGCTGGACGAGGACGAGACTTATGAGATTGCGGCCTTTGGAAATGACTTGTCTGCCTTGTTCCGCAGTACTTCGAGCATTCCCAAGTTCGAGATTGAAATAAGTAACGCCAACATCGTCCCCATGTTTCCACCAATGCCCCCTCCGCGCCCTGCCTCAGTGGCCTCCTCGCGAAGCAGCGTTGAGATTGCGGACTAGATCATGGAATTACTTTGCACCACTCACAGGCACTTAGGACAGTGCCACACAGTCTTTTCAGAGGGCAATCATGCATCAGTGAGCATACGGCCAAGGCGAAACGGGTTGGATAGGTGTGTTAAACTAGGGTACGGATACTGAGACGGGAGTTTTGGATGACAAGAGGTGTCTGCCATTTAACAAACTGTGCACATTGGGCCGACGGCGCGTGGACTATCGATTCGGGGATGTTTTATTCCTCAGCCATTCTTCGCCAAACTTGCTAACACTAGAATGGTACTACTTTATCAATAGAGTTGTCGTTGAACTTGACTTTACAACCGTGAACGTAAACTGAAACGGTTACATCTCCAGCATCTGGCCGTCGGTAACTATCAGTTACTTAGAGGAAACCTTACTGTGCGTTCTGCAGATTCGAACCGTTACCCCTGATACTTGCACTTGTGTTACTGCAAGCCTGTTCGAATATAATGACGAGTAACATTTGAGGCCGATAATCTGATCCTGTGTCCAGATCCATGCTCCTATTGGTAGAATAATCCAAAGCACACGGGTAGCCATAAATTTAGCGACTAAGACCTAGCTCAGCTCCCGCCTCACTTTATTGGCACATGACGGCAGTTACTTGAGTTTGACCGCTGCAACACACTATAGTTGATGATCATGGCCTCATGGAGATGGAAGAATCAACGATAACTGATAGACGCTAGGAGGACATTCGATGAAGTGAGGAGTTGTTGAATGAGGCTGTAAAGAACGTGTGGCTGATATGCAATCTAATGCAGCTTCAAGCAGGGATTTGACACGGGAAACAGGAATTCTTCAAGTTAGTGAAGACGAATATCATGACTACTCTTGACGATATCACAAGATGAGAAATGTGATAGTATATGTCACAAATTTTGGTGAAGACGAAGGGTGTCACCGCTTTGTTATCGTTGTCGTTGTTGATGGACAGATGAATATCAAACATGACCAGTAGATTTGAGAACAGCTCATCTCCGTAGTGGCTGACCATGCTCTTCACCGACTGGATATTATGCACGCATATGCATATAGCGTCCAGCCCATCGGGATGCCGTGCTACTGTTACTTGGCATAGCGTATAGGCAACCACCTCTAAAGAGAATACTGAAGCAGTTCGCCAATGTCGATAGCCTCATGGCATGTCATGACAAGGATTGGAGAGGACTGCATTGAAACAAGGGTATCACCAGGCTAAGTGACTGGTTCAAAAAGGCTCGCCACAGAATAAGCCTTGAAGATGAGTTGAGGCCCCCAACATGTGCTTGTGCTGTGAGCGCGGCTCACGACTTTCGGGATCCGACAGAACGGTAAGAGGTCAGAGCGGTTATAGAAACGAGGCAAGACGGGACATGGGCCTAGCTAGACTAGTTATAATTTGCAGACAGATAGAGGGACAAGGATGAAGGAGGGAGGGAGGCAAGATCCTGGCGGTGTAGAGAGGGCCTTGTTTGGGCGAGGTTTGAGTGGAAAGGAGCTGTGAGAGGAGAGTAGAGCTTGGTGACTTTGAAACAATACACCACATTGATGTCACCTTTTGGCTGTGACAAGGCGTACTAGCTTTCCACAGAGACTGGAACTGAAGATTGCTTGCCTTGACGATGTGTGGGAATTGTATAGGGGGCTCCAACCAACACAATGCATTTCTCGGTCTACACAGCCAACTGTAATGCATAGCACTGTAGTGTAGTGTAGTGTATTGTAGTGTCAGCCCACAACTTGATTCTAGAGCAGTCTGTTGTATACTGTGTTGTTTCACTGCTTTTTATCTACCACAGATGACCTTTCACCTGAAACCTGTGACAGCATCAATCTGTACTCCACGCCTTATACTCATCACTCCCTCTTCTTTTCTTCCAAGGCTGCAAACGCCCTGGAAACCTGCAGCCAACTATCCTGCAGCAGTACTACATCCTCAAGTTAGCCCAAGTGCCTGAAGTTGACAGTCCAACTCACCGAGAGGTACAATGGCCCAAGGTAGGTTGAAACCAGCATAATAGATCCAAAAGTACACAGTCTCCGGGCGGCTGTACGCCACGCCATGCACCCTCGACTCATTCCAGTTGGTCAGGTAATATAACGCAACGCCGTACACATGTGCAGTACAGACGATGACCTGCACGACGTGGCGGCTGTGCCAATCCCTAAGTATACCTACCACGGCGAGGAATGAGAGGGGTCCCCAGGCGAGCTGTAAAGGTTGTGTAAGCCAGTGAAGTGAGAGAAGCATACCCAACTTACACATGTGATGGTCTCTACGCTCACGGTAAAGATGTCGTGTGTCAGGTAGCGTGAGTCTGATAGAGTGTATTCCTTCCACAGCTGGGCGAAGAGTGTCGACATGCCAGGGAGTTGATAGCGGTAGACGAGATAGTACCCTTGACAAGTAAGCAAGCACCCTGACGTCGTGACGGGGTCATTCTCTTTGCCTCACCTTCAAAGGCGACATGCAAGAAACCGCCTGCAATCAACTCCCAGTTAGTCTTTTGATCTTCTTCTTTTGTATAATTGCATGACTTGACTTACACAGCGCAAACCAAGCAGCAGCAAACTTATCAATTGGCCGCACAGGCTTTGCAGTACGTGTCGTTTGCCAGAGTGTGAGGCCAATCACGGACCCAACGATTGCACCAAAGGTCCCTATCAACTCTGCCACTGGTGTGCTGTTGGGGAGATATCCTGGGATAACGGCATCAACCGGAAAGTATGGATGCTCATGGTCAGCCATTATTATTGTGCAACTCTAGGACAACCTATGATCATCAACAGTAGATAGAAGAGTCGACTAGTAGAAACTTATCAGAGACTGAAGACCCTTGAGCTCCAAATAATGTAAGCTCAATGGACTTGTGGAATCAGAATAGGTAGGCAGGTATTGAACAGATGTCTAGACAGGCACACGGCAGTTGCTTGGTGATGGTTTAATTAACCCCTTGTTCATCACGTGATGGCATCAACCACATGTAATTTCATTCTGTCTCTTGAATATATCAATATCAATAGAGTTACGAGGTAGTGTCAATCGATATATTGCAGAGTCGTATTTGTAACTGCTAGAGTTGGGCGGCATTTCCATGCGTTTCGACGCATTCAACCCGACTTGAACCCTTGCAATCGTAGGTCAACCCCAACATCCTTCCCTTGATGGTGATGGTGTCAATAATATACAGAAACTTGTAAACAGCACATCCAATCAAGCTATCAATAGTATACATCTCCCTTCATGAGTATCCTGGCCGTCCGTAAGAGTTGCGCAGACTCAATCTTCCCATCTCGAATGACAGTCCCAATGTCAACTTTGCCACTCGGATGCCCTATACAAACCGTCTCCTTGGACTGACCCCCGATGAGATCAGACGCAAGTGTCCCTTGGAGTTGGGAAGCAGCCCCGAGGCAGAGCGCTAGAGTCAATGGCACAGCTTTGTGTGCCTGGCCCATAGACAAAGCAAGGCACCTGATATCAACCTCTGGCGAACCACTCGAGGGGAACAAAAGGACAATTTTGGGAACACTCTCCGTGTTAGGATCGAGTCCCATGAGACTGGCACCCGCTCGACGTATCTCTCCAAGTCTTTCCTTGAGTTCGGGGTTTGACTCGACGATAGCTGGTGTGAGAGACAGGTGATCAGCAAGTCCCAAGCTTTCAGTACTGATGAAAACACCAGGATTGCCAACATCAACGAGAGATGCCTTGATCTTGGTTCCGTCTTGCAGTTGGAGGGCATCCACGGGGTTTCCAGTCGGAAGAGCTTTGCCGGTCTTTGCACCAGCAGGATCAATGAAGCTCATGATGACCTTGGAGCCTGTTCCTGGGACCCCGTCCATGACATACTCTCCTTGATGCGTATACTTGAGAGGCTCGCCCTCAACTCGGAACTTTGAACTCATTACCTTATTAGTGTTTGTGTTCAAGAACCGCACAGTGGCCCACTGCAATCCATTCTCATCCTGCTCAACAGTCTTGGCCTTGGACTGAGCCGACAGAAACCCACCATCCCACGCCGCAGGACCAACCAAGGACGACATGTTACCGCAATTCCCAGCCATATCGAGGCTTCCATCGCGTATTCCAACTTGCACAAATGTGAAATCCACATCCAAGTCTTCTCTCGAAGGTGGTCCAAGGATGACGATCTTTGAGGTCGACGAGATGCCAGAACCCATGCCATTGAGCTGGCGTCCGTACGGATCGGGCGAGCCCATTGCTGAAGGGAGTATCTTATGCCATTGGGATTCTGGAGGAAGATCTCTTCGGTGGATAACGAGACCGTTTGATGTTCCGCCACGCGCGAACCATGCAGGGAAGCTTGAGGCTGGTGTTGAGGTAGTCATCAGGCGGGCTTGGGAGAGCCGAACTGAACGGATGATGTGCCGTGATAATGGTCTATAAGATGTCATAATCGCCGTATTCCAGCCGAATAAATATATAAAAGTTGTTTCCATAAGTCAAGAGAATGTTATATAAAGGTTCAGACTGCCCGGGGATAGCTCGGAGGTCCGAGACCAGAGCTAGAGGAGCGAGAGACGCTGAATGTTTAGTGGTTCATGCGCTGTAAGATCACTACATCTATCTATCTCCCTTTGCTTACTTCAACTAACTTGGACTTCTAAAAGATCATCAAAACCAAACAATAATGCTGTTCTGGACCCTTCATATATCTGTCTGACTACACGAACTAAACTTGCTCTGAAAAAAGGTAAAAGATGACAAAAAGAACGCAAGAACAAGCATCTGCCAGAGAATGAAACAATCTCAATCTCAATCTCAATGTCGACGTGATATCAGATATATCAGTCCTTCTCAGTCCAGAATCTCCTCATAACTCGATCAGCATAGTCCTCATCCATCCCCCAATTCTCAACTGCATCCTCGATTCCATCCTCCATACGCTCGATATACTCCTCATGAGGCACGTCCTCCTCCACCCTCATCTCATCAACATACACCAAGGCTCTCAATGTCTCGTCGTCTTCCT